GGTTCCCTCTCACCCAGCTGCAGTTTGTTAGGTAATTTTAGATTGCAAAGGGCCAGGCCATTCATATTGCAAAAGCCTCTGCGTACAGCTTGACCGGGGGGCGGGGGGGTCTGAGGGAATCAACAGGACAGAGAAAACAGCTATGGGTGATCCTCAGCCCTTCCCTGAGAGGCCCCAGGTCCCAGTGTCCCACGGTGTAATCTCTGAGCACCTTTGAGAGAAAGCCGCCCTTGAGTTCCACCCAATGCCAGACAGTCCAGTTTCTCCCCGTATGATTTTGGGTCCCCAGAGACTCACCCAGAACTGGAGTTCAGGGCTGTTGGGAGCTTGTGTCTCCCTCCAGATTGAAAAAGACAACCATGTCCTCAGTTGCCAGTCCTTTCCCCACACCTGCGTACCTCTGCAATTTACTCCCACACCTCCTCTGAGTCTCAGTGTGCTTTTCTCTTTCTTTGTAATTGTAGAATTTCCACCCAGCAAACCTTCCTGTGGTTCTGGATGATGTCCGTTTTGTCTTTTAGTTGTATTTTTGAAGTGGTTGTGCGAGGCAGCCATTTCAGGTGTTTACCTATGCCGCCATCTTGGTTTCTCCCCCTAAATGATAGCTTTGTTGGGTAAAGTAATCTTGGGTCTAGGTCCGTACTATCCATCACTTTGAATATTTTTTGCCACTCCCTTCTGGCTTGCATAGTTTCTGTTGAGAAATCAGCTGACAGTTTTATGGGTGCCCCTTGTAGGTAACTAACTGCTTTTCCCTTGCTGCTTTTAAGATTCTTTGTCTTTAACCTTTGGCATTTTAATTATGATGTGTCTTGGTGTGTTCCTTTTTGGGTTCCTCTTGTTTGGGACTCTGTGCTTCCTGTCTATGTCCATAATATGTATATTCATATAAGACTTGTAAGTCTATTTCTTTCACCAGGTAGGGGAAGTTTTCTCTCATTATTTCTTAAAATAGGTTTTCAGTCTCTTACTCTGTCTCTTCTCCTTCTGCACCCCCATAATGCGACTGTTGGTTGGCTTGAAGTTGTCACAGAGACTCCTTACACCGTCTTCATATTTTTGTATTCTTTTCTCTTTTTGCTCTTCTGATTGTGTGTTCTTTGCTTCCTCAAATTTTGAATCATTGATTTGATTCTCGGAATTCTCTACTCTACTGTTGAATTCTTGTTAATTATTCATTATTTTAGTTAATGTATGCTTAATTTCTGACTGATCGTTTTCTCTCTTTGGCATTCTCATGAAGATCCTTGAATAATCTTATATCTGTGGTTTTGAACTCTGTATCCATTAGTTTGCTTTCTTCCATTTCTTTCATTTGTGACATGTTTCTTTGTCTCTGCATTTTTGCCAGTTCCCTGTGTTTGTTTCTATGTATTGGGTAGAGCTGCTATGTCTCCTGGAGTTGGTAGAGTGGCCTTGTGTAGAGGTATCCCGTAGGGCTCAGTGGCTCAGCCTCCCAGTCTCCTGAGCTGGGCACTCTAGGTGCACCCCTTTGTGGGTTGTGTGCAGAGTCTTGTTGTAGTTGAGACTTGATTGCTGTTGGCATCACTGGGAGGAATTGACCTCCAGGCCAGTTGGCTGTGAGGACAAGTTGCAACTACAGTGGAAGAGCTGCTGTGCATGATAAAGCCCTATGGAGCAGGACTTGTGTCAGTGGGGCTATGGTGCTCACTCAGTCTGCCCTTGAGTGTGTTGATTGTGGATGTGTAGAGCTGTAATCTGGTATGGTCTGAAGCTGTCCACCAGGTATACTGGCTCTTGGGTCTGCAGGAAGGTGCAAAGTCAGCCACTGCTTGGGGCCACCTGGCAAGAGCAGCAGAGAGATATGCAGACTCCTCCTATTTGTATTGAATTTGGAAGTGCCCAGGTGAGACCCAGCTTTGAACCAAGGCAGGCTGATGCTGGTGCCAGTGCCAGGTCATGGGTCTTTTACTGATAGGTATGGGCCATGCTGACACCAGCTGCAGCTTGTTTGAAAGATTTCAAGGAAGCCTGAAGCCTAAACCAGGACAGAACATTCATATGTAAAGGCTGCTGCAAACAGCTTGGGTGGAGCTGCAAATTGGATGCGGTGGGGTCTCAGTGAATCACCAGGGCAGAGCAAACACATGTGCTGCAGGTTTATGGGGACTCCTGGATATGGTTGCCAAGCCAATCACCCCTGGGACAGGGGAGGTCTAGGCATAGGAACAATGAC